CCAAGCACCTGCTCCCATCCTAGGGAGGTGGGCGCTGCTGCTCTTGAGGAAACCTGCTCTCACTTGGCAGGGTCCAGGCCCTGGGAAGGGCAGTGCTAGGCAGGCCTTTGCCCCACATGAGGTCTGCCGTCATCCCACAGCTCTCTGGGTGTGGGGAGATAAGCCAGGAAGGTGCTGGACAAACAGTTTGCTAGGTGAGGGGAGGAGGAATAGGGAGGAGAGTGACTTTTGTCCCCATCCAGCACCACCGTGGTGCCACTTGGCGCCTGTGACGAGCTGTTCCCAAGGTCCCCAGCCCCACCGGGACCCCGCGGTAAGGGAGTTCAGCACTGGAGGTGAGGAGGGAACCCCTGAAGCCCCCCAGCCATCACTCCAGGCATTGCCTTGCCAGTGCCATGCCAGCACCGCTCTGGGCACCGCTCGGGCCCTCACTGCCAGCCTTTCTGTCCTCCAGGGCACCCTGCGCGCACGATGACAGCGGGACTGTGCCAGCCCTTTCCCCCAGGCAGGGACCGCGCCAGGCAGAGCCCCGCAGCACCGTGTCCCCGGCTCTGCCAGCGGTGGCCAGCAGGTGTCAGAGCGCGGAGGGGACGGCGGGGACCGGCGGGGAGCAGGTACCGATGGACAAGCACCGGGCAGGTACTGACGAGTGGGGAACGGGTGAGCAGGGCAGCAGCGGACGAGCACCAACCATGGATCGGCAGGGAAGAAGCAACTATGAGGAGGAAACAGGCAGGGATGAGCAAAAATAAATAGGGAGCAAGAAGTGATAGGCAAGGCTGAGCAGGTGGGGATGTGCAGGGAGCAGGCACAGGAGGCAGAGAGAGGACAACAAAAGACAGGGATGGACAGCGATGGACAGCGGTGGATAAGGAGCAGGCAGCAACGCTCAGGGAGCACACACGAGCTGTAGGAAGTAGGCAGGGATGGGCAATGCCTGCCCGGGGGCTCTGCTGCCTGTATGAACAAGTAGGCAGGGACCAGAAAAATAATAAACATGGGCTGTCCACGGCATCTGTGTTTGATGGTGATTGCAGGGAGGGCATAGCTTGTCCCTGCAGTGGTTCAGATGACCAGGCACCCCCAGCTCACATGCAGAATGGGGCCCCATATGACCACAAAAAGCTGGTGGCTCTGCTGTCCCATGCACCTCCTGGTGAAGATCATGGGGATGTCAGGCTGGGCTGAGCAAAGACGTTCTACCCACCTTTTGCCCAACTTTTGCATCTCCCTTTTTGTGTCCATACCGGGGACAGAACTATGTCCTGTGGGGCACTCCAAACCACTTTAGGGAAGGCAGCAGGACAGAGCCCCAAGATAGGGCACAGTCAGCAGGGACCCCAGGGTCATCTCAGGGGAAGTATGAAAGACACTCAGGTGTGATCACAGTCTCAGCAGAGGTGTCGTGAATGGAGTGTGCTTGGCCACAGCTACTCCCATGTCCAGAGCCTGGCCAGGAGAAGAGGGGTCTTACTAGCATCTCCTCCTGAAGGGAGGTTTCCCCCAAAGGAAGCCAAAAGTCCTACCCCGAGGTCTTCATGAGAGATTCCTCACCACTGTAAGGTTGGTCTCTGTGTCAGTTGGACAAGCAGTGGCTGCAAGGAATGATGGTTGGGGTAGGGAGAGGCTGGGTTTGGGACTCCATGGGGGCAGGGGACCCATGGCATTCCTGGGCCAGGCTGCTGGGGAGAGGTGAGGCGGGTTCTGCCTCCAGCCTTATCTCAGCACCTCCGAGTGGGACCAGTGAGAGCAAACACACTGGAATTCTTGAGGAAGATGAAATGATAAAGGAAAGGCGGGCAGAGAGCAGCACTACCCACTCCTCTAAGCAGGCGACATCTTCCGGCTGCCTGGGACACCCAGACCCTTGGACTTGGGGAAAGAAAACAGGTTTGAAGTGAGTCAACAGCAGTAAAAGCCACTGCTCTGGGGGAAGGGACAGGGAGTTGGGTCAATGGCCTTTCCCAACCCATAGCAACACAGGACATGGTGCCAGAGCTAGAGTTCCCATATCTGGGGGGATCTCCCCCAGCCAGGGGCCACAGGATAATCCCAGAGGGCTGTGGAATGGCAGCAAGCTATCAGAAATCATGTCCCCTCCATAGCAAGAGGAACAATTCCTTGCAGAGCTGCCCAAGGCACAGTGGTACCCATCTGTGCATGGATGTGTGGTGGCCAGGGACCCTGCTGGAGTAAGAACCCTCATTTGTGCAACGCAAGAAGACCAGGATGTTTCTAGGTACTCAGCCAACAAGGCAGTGGTACAGCATGAAATGTTAGGCTGGCCCAAGGGACACAGAGATCTCTCTCTCCCAGGTGTGCTGAGGGGCACTGGCTGGGTTACAGAAGGTGGAGGGAGCACTCTCAGGAGAAAACACAGCAAGAAGCGTTCTCCTGCCTCCAATGATGTCATCCACTTCCCCGATGTATGGACCGGAGGAGCTCACTGCTTCCTCAAATATCTCTGAAGCTGTTCCCCAGGGGAGGCAGGTTACAGCCCAGCCCCAGGGCTCCAGTCACCAGCAACCACAACTTGTACAACTCCTCAAGCCTGCTGCTTTATAGGGGATCCAGGTCCTTCTGCTACAGTCCCCAGCCTGAAAACCAACCTGGACTATGGTCCCTGCTCTAAGGGACATGCTCTCAGGGCACACGGGGTTGCAGAGCTGTCAAGCCAGCACCCAAGAAGCTTCTCCTCCCAGTATTATGAATACCCTGGTCAGGCACTATGGCCAGGGCCTTGCTCAGTGCCCATCATCATAGCCACTCGTGTTCACCCACCTGCCAGCCCCTGACCAGGGGGTACAGTGGGCAGAAAGACAGCCCAGCTCCCCTCTGCTTCCCCCAGGAGCTCGTTCAGGCTGCAACCTTGCTGAGGCTGGTAGCCAGGTTTCTTAGCAAGGCCGTGCGGCTCCTTATCTGCATTCCTGAAACCCTCAGGCATTCTCCTGGCAATATTAAAACACAGAGTAACCTTCATCCAGCATCACCCCCCCTCCTCTGCTGTCGTCTGTGTCGTCCACCCCCCCATCCTTCCTGCCGGCCCGGGGTACTTGTGAGCTGACTGCAACAAGGCGTTTGCAGTAACAGGTTGTTCCCAGCCCTGAGCACAGCGAGCAGTTCCCACTGAGCACCCTGCACCATCCCACACGAGACATGCAGGAAGAGGGGACACTGAGGGTTTCAGTGTCCTAGTGGGGCCAAGGTCAGCAAGAGCAGTCCTGGACACAGCAGCACACCAGGCTCTGGTCTGTCCCTCGGATCCAACAGGCACGCTGCCTGCTCTGACAGTGGGTGGGCAGAGGAGAGGGGCAAGGGCAGGATGGCTGCATGGGCCAGGGCGCTGCTTGACCAGGGAAGAGCGCAGCATAGCCCTGCCGGATGGAGGGGATGTGGGAGGATGCTGCTGGATCGGGGGCAGTGTGGCACAGCTCAGGGACGGCAGGGACGGCTGCTGCCAGCTTGGAGTGTAGGGTTATGCCAGCCTGGGGACCAGTGGGACTAGAGTTGAGGGGCAGCAACGTAGGGTGCTGCCAGCTCGGGATTCACAAGGGCGTTCCTCGGGGTGCATTTAGGCACGGCTGCCACAGGCTCCGAGGAGCAGCGGGGCAGGGTGCTGCCATCTCGGGGGACAAGGTGCTGCCGTCCCAAGGCGCAGCGTGCTGTCCGTCGCGCACAGCGCAGCCGAAGGGACAGAGCGCCCGACGAAGGGAGATGCACCCGCTGCAAGCCGGCAGCCCGGACCCGGCACCGGGATGCCCGGGGCAGGACGGGGAAGCCGCAGCGCGGGGCCCACACGGTCCCCAGAGAGCGGATAGCAGGGCGCTCTGAGACAGCCCCCGTGCCCGCAGATGCCCGGCGCGGGGGTAGAACCGGGCGGCAGCGGTGCCGTACCTGGGTCATGAGCCGGTCGGCGCCGGTGTTCTCCTCGTCCTTGAAGATGATGTCGGGGTTGTAGTTGGGCGTCAGCTCCTTGAAGCGCTCCGAGTTACGCGCGATCTTGCCCTCGTAGCGGCCGCTAGCCCCCAGCGTCTTCTCGGGGACGTTGGGGCTGAACTGCTTGTAGGCGAGCGGGATGAGCTTGCGGGGCGGGCGGCGGCGGCTGCCCACCACCCTGCCCGGCCCGCAGCCGCGCACGGCCGGCGCCAGCAGCAGCGCGCACCCGCTCAGCAGCAGCAGCAGCCGCGCCGGCTTCATGGCGCGCCCGGCGGCCCCGGGGCGGCCCGGGGCACCGGTGGCTCCGGGGTCCCCGCTAGGCTCGGCCGCCGCTCCCGCCGCCCGGCCCGGGGCTCCCCATGCGGCGCGCAGCCGGCGGGCAGGTGCCGGTGCCGGCGGCGGCGGCGGGGCGCGGCGGCTGCCCGGCGCGGGTGCGCTCCGGCTGCCCGGTGCGGCGAGCTGGCGTCGGCCCGCTCTGAGCCGCTGTGGCCCGGCGGCGGCAATAAATAGCGAAGGGCCGTTTGTTTTGGCAGGCGAGCGGCCGCTTGCGGGGCGCGGGGCGCGGGGCTCGGCGCTGCCGGAGCCCTCCGCGGTTTGCGCCTCGGCGGTCAGCGCGGCAAGGCTGGAGCCCGAGCCGGAGCCGCCGCTGCCTCGGCTCCCTGGGCAGGAGTGAGAGGGGAAATTGAAGAGATCCGGGACCGGGAACCGCCAGGACCGCACCCTGCCCGTGTCCCAGCCTCCCAGCGCCCTCCCTCTCTCGCCTCCTCCCCGTGGAACCTGCCCCGGGCCGCCCGCAGCCTCCTCCCCCCTGCCGAGCCCCGCAGCCCACCCCACCGGGGGTGCCCGCCGCCACCTGCCCCCCGGGGCAGCCCCGCCGCCGCCCCGAGGTGCGCCCGGCCCGCCGCACGCCCTTCGCCCCCCGTCTCGGGGCGTCCTGCGGGGGCTCCCTCGCGGCGGCGTGGGCGCGGGGTGGCACCCCCGGGGCTCCGGCCCCCGCCGCGCCGCCTGCTCGCCAGGGGCCCGGGCCTGCGGGCGGGGATCAAACAGAGCAGGGAGGCAGCTGGTTGAAATTTAACCACAATATTCTCGCTCCCCATTGTTTCCAGGGAGGCCCGATATTTCCACAACAGGATTATGGCATCTGATTAACTCGCTGAGACAACAATGAGGGGCTGGGATGGGCTTCCCCTTCTAGCTGCCAAAAGGGGAAAGTAAATATAACACCCTGATTTCAGGAGCGAGGGTTTGAAGGGCCCCCCCCGGTTCTCCCCCAGCTGTGTGCCTGGGAGGGGTCCGGCACGGGTCTACTTGAACACCCTCTGGTTCCCTAGGATCTTCCCAGGTGAGACAGTGCCTTGGGATGCCCACACACACACAAACTCTCCCAGAGATGTTCCCTCACCAGCCCTTCTGCGAGCACGGGGCACAGGTCACTCACAGGGATACACGGTGGCCAGGCTGCAATAGCCCAGCCAGACATCCAGCTCTGACTGCAGGGCTTTGCTGCTCTCAGCAGGACCAAGCAACGTGGGCTCAAGGGATGCAGCCTGGGGAGCCAGCATCACCCACAGACTTGCGATGCTGCTATCTAATGCCCCCAGCATTAGACCATTTCCTTTGCAGGAGATGCAAGCAAAGTGGTGTCTCCATCAGGTTTTCATACTCAGAGGTGTCTCCATCAGGTTTTCATACTCAGTAGCCATAGTCCATCAGGTTTTTATACTGATTTTCATACTGGTTTTCATCCTGCATACCCAAAAGCAGTGCCCAGGGCCTCTGTGAAGACCAGCCACTGGACAGGATGGTGAGATACAGCTGTCCCACTGTTTCTGCACATGATGGAGTGACGGTGTCTGGCCAGCAGCCCCAGGCCACCCCACTTCTACACTTCTTTGGCTGATCCTTCCAGTGGAGCGTCCTAAGGACATCAGCAGAGAAAGCAGAGGGGACATACTACAGCACCATTTTCCACCCCTGCCCTTGGCTTCTCAGGCATGCAGAAAGGACACAACTCACTGTGCATCACTAGCACAGGAAAATTAGACCCTATGGACCCTGGACTAGATTCACAGGATCCTCCAGGGTGGTTTGTGCTCCCAACAAAATGAGCCTAGCTTCCTGCTTTGCACATCACAAGACTGTGAAGCAGGATGATCTGGGATAGCACGGCATCTGGAGGCTGCAGCACTTCCCCAGGGAGAAGTTCCCTATGAATGCCAATGTCACAAACCCAGACCTCCAAATAAGCTCTGCAGCCTGCCAGCATGCAGTGTGCATGTCAGAAGCCGCTGTCCCCCTCCCAGCAGCTCCAGGCTCACAGTAAGCAGCCTAGCCCTGCCCTTGCTGGTAACAGCATTCATGTCCCATGGAGGCCCAGGCTGGAAGACAGGAGTTGGGTTTGCTGGTGACAGCAACCCCTTCCCATGCAGGGGCCGTGGCATTGTGCATTGGTTCTGGCCACAGCAAGCAGTGGCAGTGCCCTTTGCTGGGTGCAGAGTCCATCACCTCTCCATGCAGCGTTCCCAACGTCAGCCACTTCTCCTGCCAGGCAAAACCTTTCGGGCATACAGGGCCGAGTGGGACAGGGACACCAGGCACAAGAGGGTAGCCAAGCTGGGTGTACAGGGAGGCAGCTAGAGGCTGAGACAGGGTTGGGATAACCAGGGTTAATGGGAAAATTTGCCTGGGGAGGGAGACTCCTGCTTGGGCAACTGATGGGAAGGGACCCTTGCTGCTATGGTGGGAGAGATGCAACGTCTGTTCACATGGCATTTCCCTCAACACTCGGCCACCCTCAGGCCCTTCTGGCCTGGACGCCAGGACGCACTGCTCCTGCCTGCATTCCAATAGAGCACCAGCACCTCTTTGCTCTGCCCTTCGGCTCTCCCCACCACTGCATCCCGCTGTCCCTGCCCCGAGCAGCAGTGCAGCATCCCGCACACCCCTTGCTGGGCTCCCAGGGCTGCCCGGAGCTGGGCGCTGCGCAGGGCGAGCGGGCGGCGGAGCCGAGCCAGGCAGTCTAGGTGGTGCTATTTCTCTATTTTTGCACTGGACGGGTTTGGGATTTTCCTCTCCCTATTCGCTGCTTTGGTCGTCTTCTTCTCTCTCTCTCTCTCCCTCTCTCTCTCTCTTTTTTTTTTTTTCTTTTCCTTTTCTAAAAATACTTGACAGCGATTGAAAGGTCCCTTTAATCGAGGCCACAGAGCCCTTATTAAGGGCACGGGTCGGGGTGCTGGGCCGTGCCCAGCATAACGGCTTCATTAAACCCTGCGAAAACTAATATTTATGGAATCAAATTTATGGAGGCCGAGGCCGAACTTGTGGCCTTTAATGTGTGTCGGGAGCTCAAATCCAGCTGGCTCCAGGGAGGAGGGGGTGGGGACAGTGAAGGAGACCCCAGCAGGACAGCATGGGACAATGTGTAGTGGCATTCCCCAGAGCTGGCAACAACCTGGGCCAGGAAGGAACCAGTGGCCCCATGCTGGAGTCCTGAGGGTCAGGGTCCCTGCGGTTCCCTGGGGGACATTGGCAAAGTTATTTTTCCTACTGTCTTCACTCTCCTGCTTTTATTTACCTCCTGTCCTTGCTCCTGCGTTCCCACCTCCCCTTGCCTTTGGGAGAGAGGTGAATGGAACGGGATCTCTCCCTGAAGCAGGTCTTTAGGGCTGCTGGACACTCCACAGAGATTTTGCAGCAGGGCTCATGAGCAACATCTCTGCAGCATCCCTGACAGTGAGCTGAGTACCCCAGGGAGAAGCAGAGGCACAGTAATTCACAGGAATGACCCAGGGATGCAGGTGCTGGTTTGCACCACCCACTCCTCCCCTACAGAGTCCACCGGCCACTGGCACAGCCAGGCTGGGATTGTTTCAGCCCTGTGATGTCTCCTCAGACCCAAAAAGGATAGACCAGCCAGATGCCCTCGCAGGGGTGATAAGCACTCCTCCTGAACATGCTGGCAGGCATGGGGGAACAGCACAAACCCCAGAGCCAGCACGGAGCTGAGGGACGAGGCTTGCAACAGAGCAGCTCCTGCACCAGAGATGGAGTCCATATGGATGGAACAGGGCTTGCACCAGGAACAACCTGGGGGCAGAAGATACAGGGAACTGTTAAGCTGCTAAGCTCCTGCTGCCCTGGTCCTACCCTTCAGCTAGCAGCAGGACCCTCCCTGGGGGCAAGTGCCTAGCAGGCAGACTCAAAGTTGCCAAGTTAAGATGTTTGCAGATGGGAGAATGCAGGATACATAAGCTACGGCAGTCGGCACAAGCTCCCCATCCCATGGCTTTCCCTTCCCACCACCCACCCTGCCCTGCATGCTGCCCCCTCAGAAAGGAAATATAAAAAGCAACTGGTTGCACTCGCCCTGGGACTGGTTGGCTGTGGCCCAGCAAAGGCCCTTTCATTCCCCTTCCACAGACACATGGACTGCTCCGGATGTTTTTGTTTCCCCCTTCTGCCCAGGAGAACAGGCAGCATGACTGCAGCTGGCCCAGCCCCAGGGACTAGGGCAGCTGGGGGCATGGGTCCCTGTCCCAGGAGAGCAGCACCATGGCTGCAGCCTGCCTGCTGCCTGGCTCTCTGCCTGCTGTTTTAGGACCTGGCTTGGGCACACAAATGGGGTCCCAGTCCTGAAGGAAGCATGTGGACCCAGGGGCTGGAAGATGAGAGCAGGAGTGGATGGATGGATGGATGGATGGATGGATGGATGGATGGATGGATGGATGGATGGAGTGTGAAAGGATGGATGTGGTGTTTTGTGTCCAGGGAGCATCTGTAACCTGCTCCAGGGCTGCTCCCAGGCCTGGCAGCATTCAGTGTGTTAGTGTTTTGGCTGTCTCCTGCTCCTTGGAGGCCAAAGCATGGATCATGTATCACCTGCTCAGTAACTATGGTGGAGGTGCCTGCAAATGTAGGGTGTCCTGCAGCCTATCCAAGGCTTTTGCCAGCCTGCTTCTGCAGGCATCAGCACACAGGCCGTGTATCCTGGCATGGGACAAGAACGTGGGCTCCAGCCCCCTCAGCATGCTATGTCCCCATGATCTGAGCATCCTCTAGTGCACACCCCAAAACACATGCTGCTGCTCAGAGTGAGGCACAGCATGGCTGGGAGCTGGGTGCTGTGCCACAGCAATGAGCTGCTGTCACCTCACTGTCCAGAGTCACTGCACGCCCCTGGGACATCAGGACTGGCCTGAGGGGGACCCAGCAGCCAAAGGCTACATCTCTTCCTAGACACTACAGGCCTGGTGGGACAGAGCAGGAGAGGGAATCTCACCCAGACACAGCCCTTTATTGAAAACCCACTCAAAAGCAGCCAAACCCCACAGCTCTGCCAGAGGCCCAGCTGTCCCACACCCACTGGCAACATCCCTCCCACTTCTCTCAGGTCCAGCAGTGGTTCTGCCATGAGAGGAAGCCTGGGCAAACTCTGCACCAGGGAAGAGGTAGAAAAGCTGTTTTGTGAAATACTGTTGAAGAAAGGAGCTCCATCTCCCCAACTGGAGACATCTTGAGAGGGGACCATGACCTGGGCAGGGTCTATGAGGAGATGCAGAGAAGAGGCAGACGGTGCATGGGTTCTCTGCACTGCCTCTCTTGGATGCTGCGGGAAGCAGAGACCTCAGTAGGGCTGGCAGCAATCTTTCAGCTGAAGAGGCCTTTTGCCTTCTTTGGCTTGGCCTTGGCTGCAGACAGCCGGGGCTTCTGAGCTGGGGAGGAGGCTGGCTGGAAACAAAGAGGAGGCAGTGTCAGTTCCACCTTGGGGAGTCATGCAGGATGTGTGCAAGTGTGCAAGCAGTGACATTCCTGTCATTTGTGTTGTGGGAGAGCAATCATACACTCCCCAGTAAGGATGCATGGGGTAGAATGGGCTAGGAACCAAGCTGAGACTCCTAGCCCATCCTGGGTGGACACAGTGCTTGGATGAGAGGAGGGAAAGGAGATGTGAGCCCCATCCCGCCTTTGGTACAGAGAGACTTTCTAGAGCTGCACTCACCGAGGTTCTCTCACTGGAAGATGTCGTTTCATCCTCCTGGGATGTAGCAGGTGAAGGCGGGTGCTTTGTGGTTTCTGCAGTGGGTGCTGTATCCACATCATCCTCTGGAACCACAAAAAGATGCAATTAGGGATTGAGATAAGGGACCATGGGGAATTACCCAAAGCCACTCCAGGAATTCTGCTTGGATTGGGAGCCTAGCCCATGATGAGAAAGCAAAGGGGGAGATTGTTGCATGGGGTGAGCTGCACCCAGGGCCACACTTCCCTTACCCCAGGGTATGGGGCTCAGCAGTCGAGGGGACAGCTGCATCACATGCTCCCCATGCCACAGCCAAGGAGCTCCTCACCAGAGCAATGCGGTTTCCGAGCCTGCTTGACCTCCTGCTGTGTCACTGCAGTGTAGAGCTGCTGCAGAGCAGAGGCAAACGCCTGCCCTTCTCCCGCACTGCAGATCCGGGGCAGGGTCTGTGGGAGAAAGTAGAGGCACCGTCACCCTACCAGCAAATCACCTGCCAGGTCACCCTGCCACAGTGCTGCTGTGGGGCAGAGAAGGGGCCGTGCCCCCCTCTGCCTGTCAGGCTACATCTGTTTCACCCCAGGACTGCAGCAGGGTTTGTGGGAACAGGCAGCTCTGGCACTGGGTGGGATGTGGCTGCTCCCAGCTGTGTGCACACAGACAGACAGACAGACACACAGACATGTGCACACCCCCACACACCTGCTCTGGACAGTGGGTTGCCTTCCCATTGAGAGGCAGACTGCAGAGGCTTTTGGGTCATTCATGAAATGCTGGAGATAAGATCGCCCTGCCTGGAGCAGCACGGGCTGGGCTGCAGCTTGTGAATATGGACAGTGAGCCTTGGGCAGGGACATGACCTAATAAGAGACAGGAACAGGTAGTCCCTGCCTGCCACCACAGCCTCCAGCACAAGGCATCTCTGGTGGCCCCACAGAAAGTGAAAATGATGTGACAGTGAGACAAGGGATGCCCAGGTTTACTTCCAGTCTGCCAGAACAGCTCCTGCCTTCCTGCATGCACTTTTATTCCCTCCAGACTTGACACGGGAAGCCCCCCTCCTCCTGCCTGCACCCCTTGCCAGTGGGATACCACCTTTCCTGCTGGGCCATGCTGATACACATGAGAGATCTTGGCAGGCTGGGGAAGTGCCACACTCCACTGGGAACATAACATAGCTCAGAGTGCTCAAACAAACACGCACAGGGAAAGGGAAATGGGTATGTGCCCTGGAGGAGGTGCAGCAGGGGGTGTGTGGGGCACAACGTGGGCCTGCAAGTGCAGGTGAGTGTGCCATGATGACGTGCATAGGGACTGTGAGTGCAGCAGTGTGCACATGAGCGTGGCTGTGGGTGCACGCATGGCTGATTGTGTGGCTCTGGGTGTGTGTGTGTGTGTGTGTGTGTGTGTGTGTCAAAGGTCTGAACACACTAATCTCTGCCCCACTCCACACCCAGACAGCAGGAGAACAAAGTGTAACAGATAAGGTAGGATCCTCTCTGGGCCAGGAAAGTGGGGAGGGGATGGGGACGCTCAGACCCACTCAAGGCCAGAGTCCAAAGCCTGACCCCAGCTTCCCAGCGGCAGAATAGGTAGGCTGAGCCCTCCTCACTGCTCCCTGCCAGACAGGGTGGCAGGATAGGGCTGATGCCAAGATGGGATGGCTGGTGCCCAGACAGACACTTTCCATGCAGGTCTCATCTCTTCAGCTGGAGTCACACACATGAAAGGCCATTTGGAAATGCATCTGCTTTTTACCAGCTGCTATATGGGTCACCTCCTCTGCCCCTGCCCACTGCCACCGGAGGGAGCAATGCTCTGCTGCCAGCATCCCACCAGCATCCCTGGGACTGCTTGGTACTGGGCAAGCACACCTCTCAGTGCCTCACTGCCCAGCCTCCGAGTTGTTCGCTGTGCTGGCTCGTGACAGGGTCCCAGAGAGGAGGAATGCTGCGTACCTCATGCACCCCAAGGATTCTCTTACCCTGCATGTCTCACCCCAGAGCCAGGGCTGCACCCAAGGTTGCAAAAGCAGCATCCAGGGCTGGGAAGGTGACTGCACTTCAAAGGCAGAAGAGGGCCTGGTCACGGGTGGCCAACACAGCCCAGATCAAAGGCACAAGCTGGAGTCATAATTCAGAGAAAAGCAAACAGCAGCTCCCAGGAAAGTCAGGAATGGCAGTGAAGTGAGCAAAGTGTGCTAGATAGCACTGCGTGGGTCAGTGCCCCAGGAGGGCAGGAGAGTCCCCTGCAGAGCCAGCCAGCTCTGCGTGCCACTGCGAGGGCGCTCATCCGCTCTCCCTGCCACAACGGGCCTGGGGAATGCCAGGGCAATGGTGCAGGCTGTGCATCCAGGTGCGGGGTGCTGCCCAATCCCCTCTGCTCCAACCCATTCAGGATGGCACCTGAGATGTGCCCCGAGCCCCGGGGCTGCTCAGGCTGCTCCGCTTCACAGCATTCAATCACGGATCTGGGCAGGGCAGCTGCTCACTCAGTGCTCAGCCCCAGCTGCCCAGAGCCAGCACAGTGTCCCCATGATAACCTGGGGATGGGACAAACCATCCTTGTAGCCACCCAGAGTCCCCAGAAGCAGCACACACACCCCCACTGATGTGGCAGCTTGGGGAGGCACTGGAAGCAGAGTGCCCAGCGCCAGCAGGGGGATTGGGCATCCGGGGTGGCACAGGGGTCTGCAGGTGCAGGGCACCTGCTGCCCACGCCTGCGGGAAGGGCTCAGCTCCAGCAAGCCCAGGGTGGAATTTGGGAGTCAGCAGCCACTTCCTGCCGCTGCCCTTCCCGGCGGCTGGAGCCCGCGGGCTCAGGGCCATGGGGTGGCCGGAGCTGGCCCGCGGCGGGACTGGGAGGCTGCACTTCACAGCCCCGGAGGGAAATGGGTTCTGACCAGAGCTGGAAGCGTTTCCCTGCAAAGCTATGACTCAGCAGGGAGCAGAGCATGCTGTGCCAGCCACCGGCCACCTGATGGCCCCGAAGGCTGAGAGGGACCACGAAGTGTCCCCTAAAGGGCTGGATGGGGGACAAACCCTGGCTACAGCTGATTTTCCCCTTCCTCCTTGCCCCACTGCTCCATTCCTAAGCTGAACCCTGCAGCAGATAGCTTGTCCCCACTGCAGCATCAGCCCTGGCCTCTGGTGACTTGTTTTTCCCTGATTACCCATCTCCAGGATAAACACGATGTCTGAGGTGCGGGAGCCGCACAGGCAGTGGGGGAGTGCTGGCTGGGCTGTCCACACGGCTCACCAGGGAGCGATGCCTCGGGAGCTGGCAGGGCTTGTCTGGCCTGTTATGACTACCTGGCCACAAGGCCAAGTGGGATGCCCCAGTATCAGGAGGGACTCAAGGCTGCGGTAGCGGCATGGGAGACTCTGCAGCACGCCCTGAACTGTGACTTGGGGGGGGGGGGAGCAGCGTGCCCACCAAAGGGGGGCAGGTGCCTGGCCTCACACCGAGAGCAAGTCGTGCTCACTGACGGCCCCGCGGCGTGGAGGGGCAGCTCAGGGGGAGCTGGGCTGCAGCCCCGCTCAGTGACCCCCAACCCAGTGGGCTCTGCTATGGGGCTGCACCCCAGTGCAGAGATGCAGCAGGGAACAAAATCTATCTCCAAGGCATTCGGCATTTCCCCACACCCTGCCTAGACCTATCCCGTCTCAGGGGGCCAAAAGGGACAGCAATTTGGATGGTCTCTTGCGAGTATGAGCAGAAGGGGCACATCACCCAGCACAGCACCATGCCACCAGCACAGAAGCATCACCTTTCCCTGGCCCAGGATGGGTGTGCAGGGCAGGCTGGATCACGCTGGGCCCCCGCACCACTGCCAAGCACCAGAGTCTAAATCGGTCGTGCTCAAAGCTGGGGACTGACCCTTTCATTATCACACCAGACATTCGAAGCGGTTACCAACATTCTTCACTACAAATCCCACATTCCTATTTTTTAATATATTTTTAACTGGAAAACAGAGCGAATGGGGCCTGTTTGGAAATTATAGCCTGGCTGCTGTGGCTTGTATGTCAGATCTGCCCACATTCCCGTGGCCAGCCTCAGCACATGCTCCACAGGGGCACACTTAATAATTCCTGCCGGGGCTGGAGCCAAGGGGTGTGTGCCAAGGGGGAGGATGGCTTCCCCAGGCTGCCCCCACCAGTGGGCTCCATGGAAGCAGCGTGGTGGAGTGACAGACCAGGAATGGCAGACTGGCTCTCTGGCACCGGGCATGGTTGCTGCCACACTGGCATGGATGAAGTCTGGTGCTGCTGTGGCAGTTGGTGGTGGGCAGGGGAAGGGCTCCGTGGCTGGTGCATTCACAGGCTGCCTTTGGCACTTGTCCCCAGTCACCAGCTTTGTGCATTCTCCTGGGAATGGGGCTGGAATGGCTTGCTGGATCTGTGCTGGACATCTCTGCCCATGGCTATGCCAGTGTTAGTCAGGCTAGGGAGCAGCCCCCTCTGGGATCCAAATAGATGCTCACCCATCCTCTGCCAGCAGCAGAGGCTCTGTCTGCAAAAAAATAGATGTAGAGGGTTGAACTGTCCCCTTCTATCTGGTTTCAAAGGCAGGGAAAGGGGATACTTATTCCCTGGGATGAAGCAGGCCACATCAGCCCAGTCTCCTGCCCCAACTTCCTTATGGGGCAATGACCCTCTCTCTGGGGACAGAGCCACCCCGAGGCACCCTGAGGTGCCCTACGCTGACCACTGATGCCCTTTCCCACCTCCTCCAGCCCTTACATCTATTTGCAACCCCTCAAGCCTGCAGCACTCGTTGGGACACTGCATACCGCAGAAGCAGGTGGCTAAAGGACCAGGTCTGAGCTCATACTGTCATTGTCTCCATCCCCTGTCATACATTCCCAGGGGACAAGCAGCAGCAGCAGCAGCAGCAGCAGCAGCAGCAGCAGCAGCAGCAGCAGCAGCAGCAGCAGCAGCAGCAGCAGCAGCAGCTAGGAGAGCTGGCGGTGCTGCCAGCCCGCCCCTGGAGCAGGCAGGGGCAGGATGGCCAGGGCTTCACAGGCAGGCAGCCAGGCTGAGCACACCTGGCAGGAAGCGGCAGTGCCGGCAGGGGAAGGCAGCCGGAGAGCTGCTGAGAGGTGAAGGGGTCACCCCGGGGAAGAGCGGGTGGTGCGGCCGGGACAGAGGAGCATCCCAGCCCGGCCCAGCCCAGTCCATCCCGGCATGGCACAGCACTCCCCCAGCACCGTTCTGGCCCTGCTGCCTGCAATGTTTTCCTTTCCCCCTGACTACAGGGGCCTTTCCAGCGAGCAAATGTCAGGCACATAAAGAGCGGCACTGTGAGCGGAAGATGGAGCGAGAATGCCTGCCCGCGTCCCTCCGTAAGTGCTGTCTCACACTTCATCAAGGCAGCCTTTGCAAGCGAGGCACTCGCCTAACAACCAGCAGTCTATGCTGGCCGGCGACCGCAGCAGCCCCGCCGC